GGCCCCAGAACAAGTCCACGGAGACGGCTCTGCTCCCCTCCTGCCCCACCCGCAGCCGGCAGGTGACCCTGGTTTGGAAACTCAGTTCTATAGTGTGCATTCAACAGGAATAGTCTGAGCGAAACCAAATCTCAATTGAATTTGCTGTCAGAAGGTAGGACTTAATACTGCCCTTTCCCTCGGGGTCTGGCACTAAACCAAGTCCCGAGCGTATGAGTGGCTTCAAATGCCTTGGCAGATGGATTCTTCCAGCACCTGAGGGCACCGAGTGGGTGCCTGTCCCCGGGTGACGTCCAGTGTCTGAGTGGAGGCCTTTTGCAGGCCCAGACACAGATCTGCCGTCGTGAGTTAATGGTCTTGCTGTTCCTCTGTCCCCAGTCCTGGCCCTGCAGCTTGCTTGTCCGGCTGCACGGCCCTCCCAGGCTACCTCTGAGTCCGTCAGAGCCCCAGGCCCCACGGTGCCTGCCCGTCCGCGTGCAGGCTGCGGTCAGCTGCTGTCAGCGCTCTGCAGCAGCAGGCGTGTGCGTGGGCCGCTGCAGAGCCCGGTATTACTTACCCCGCTGACGTCAATGAGAACATACTATCCGTGTCTTTCGCTGCAGCCTGCAATGAGCACCAGAGGTCAGGGCACACGGCCGCCTCCTCGCTCAGAAAACCCACCCCAGGCTGACGGGTGAAGTCCTAGCTCGCTCGCCTGACACTCACCATCCAGGCTCTTAGGAGACAAGTTGTTTTTATTTAATTCAAGAGTGTTGGAAATGCTAAAAACTGCATTTCTTTTTCCTTGCAGAAAATTACCCCATTTGAATTAATGTTTGATACAAAGATCATTTATTAAACTGCATTTTAGGCTATTTTCTAACATTGAGTGACAGTTACATTTTTTTTTGAAACTTTTTCACATTGAAGCTATTATGATTTGCACTCAAAATACCAAAGCTGTTGAACTCACCATTTATTCCTTAGTCATTTTAAAAAATCACACATTAAAAATAACTACAATTAGATTAATTTTATCAAAATTACTCACAGACCAAACCTCCCTTGGAAATAAGTGAATCGTGCTGCCCTGCCCACAAAGTGCAATTATCTCTGTATGACTTTTATTTCTGAAATTGCAGCCCCCAAAGGAAGCCAACCTCCTTTCCTATGTGTTCGCTTTCCCTTCAGGGATTCTGGTGGAGGCGATTTCTCTTACCATCAGCGGTGGGCAGGTGTCACCACCCCCATTTCCCTGATTGAGGAAGTCTGGCCAGACGGGCTCCCCAGCCCGTGGCAGGTCCCAGTGATCGGTATTTGTGAATGTGAACATCATTCCAATCTGCGGTCGTATTTCCTGGGATGCTATTCTCCTATTTTTATTTTTTTGAATTGATCTCAGAGAGGGAGAGCTAGAGCAACATCAATGATGAGAGAGAACCACTGATTAGCTGCCTCCTGCACCTGCCAAACCGGGGATCCAGCCACACTGGCCAGGCCATTTTATTTTTAAAGCTCACCTCTACCTACCCACGCTGCTTCTGAAAAGACAAAGTATCAAAGTGTGTTATTTTCTTTAATTATAACAGTGTCTAATCAGCACTTTTACTTGATGTACCTTAACCGTGAAGCAGTGCTGCCCTCCCCCCGGGGAGGTCAGGTTCCCGGGCTGAATCTGCTGGCCGGCTGGGCGGCTGCAGCTGTGCCATCTGGCCTCAAGGCCATGGAGGAAGAGGTGTCCTCCTAGTGCATATTCTGTGGGGATGGCCGTTGGGTGTAACCGGGAGAAACCAGCGTCTTTAACGTGCACCTGCACTTGTGTCGTTAGTTAGCAGGGCTGCAGGCAGATCCGGGGGGGCCAGTCTCTCAGCCTTGCTCAGAGGACTGCCCGGAGGGCCCTCTCCCTCCAGCCAGGCCGCTGTGGAGGGGAGAACCGGGCGAGGGAAGATGTCACTCTCACCCAGTGCTTAGCCCACTGGGGCTTGGTCCACGGGCTGTTGGGTCACGAAGCGTCAGCTGTTGTTGCTGATGGGAAAGGACATGGGGCAAGAAGCCACACATCTCACCACGTCCCTGCGTCTGAACGGCCTGCCCCTAAGCAGAGGCTCCGGTCACCGCACACCCGGACCCCTGGCCACCCGGAACGGAGGCTGCCGCTGCTCACTTCTACCTTCTGGGCCACCCAGTCACTCTCCAGCTGAGAATACACCCTCCTGCCAACCCAACGGCAGACTCTCCTCTGGGCGCCTGCTTTCAGGCACGGATCGCAGTGTGGCCGAGGCCGGTGTTGGAGGGCACCGGGCCCCTACCAGCCAGCTCAGGCCCGGGCTTGCTCACTCAGCTCCTCCCTTCCTTTCCCGGAGGCAGCGGATTCAGAAAGGAAGGGGTTTTGTTCATGTAAGAACAGACCCGTTAGCCCCCTCTTCCTAGCTCTCCTCCGATGCTTCTCATGAAGAGATGCTCCAGGCTGGTGAGGAGACCCTGTTCCCCGGCGGCACGAGGGCCCAGCGGCCTGGAGGCCGAGGCGGCGAGGGGCTCTGCCAGGGAGCACGCACCGCGTGGGATAGGTCAGCTGCATGTATGAACTAGAGACATTCTTGCCAACTGGACACTGCAGAATTAGTGCATTTTCCCCAAATAGAGACTAAACTTGGATTAAAAAAGGGACAAAAACAAAAAATAAAGTACCACACATATTGCAGTTTGCTGAATGAAATTTTTACCTCATGTTCATCTCCCCAAGTCTCTTCAGAGGAGTGGGTGGGGTTCACAGGCCAACAAAGCCAACGATGCCCAGCCAACAGGGCACCTGCTGGGGCAGCGGGCGCAGGGAGGAGCCTTCCCAGGCCGGGGGTGTCTGAGGGGCGCTCACCCATCACCGCTGAGGAGCGCAGAGAGCAGGCGGCTGGGAAACACTGACCGGCAACACCGACCAGCCCAGACCCAGTCCCCCAGCTTGGTTCACTGAGCACAGAAGCTACGAAACTTACTGACCTCTGCTGAAATACACGAGAAAAGCAGGAACTCACACCGAGGCCAGCAGGCCAGCTCAGGGTGCTTGCGGGCTCTGTCTCTGGGTCCCTCGGCTTCCATGGGCCTCTCGGCTGGCCCCCTGCCCGCCCCTGGCCTAGTTGCCTGGCACAGCCTGGGTGTCCTGGCTGACGGGCTCCTGGCCTTGCTGGGGCAGCTGTTCCTGCCCACCCACAGCCCCGCTCCTGCGCCTGAAACGAGCAGCCCCGAGTTCAGTAAGGAAGGATGTCAGTGACAGCACTTCGGTAGCAATTTTGGGAAAACTTCTTTCAGTCTAAACAAATTAAGCCCTGTTTTATAATTGGCATATTTTACAAAGACTTAAAACAGGTTAGAGACCTTAATAGAAGGATCTCTTAAATGAAATATTTCACCAAATCATCAATCTTAAGCACGAGGTGGGGTAAACCATCAGAACTTCATTCGTCCTTCCCTTTCCACTGTGCGCTCTCCCAGAATGACCGCCCGCCTTCTCCGCAGCCGTCCTGGCCGGCCCCGCTCTCCCCGCGCCCAGGGCCCCACACCCCGGGCCCACGCACAGCCCAGGCCCCGGGGAGCCAAGAACATAGCTGCTCGGTACCAGCCGGGAGGGGCCGAGTCAGACATAGCGGACTCAGACCTTCTGGCTCCTCCTCACCTGCCAGGACTCACTACGAAGAGGGAAGGCGACTGAACGCGGAGGTGTCCTGTCCACTCAGGTGGCGCTCTGCGCGGTGCTGAGGGAACAGGCCTGTGCCCGGTGTGTTCACCTGCTGACAGGACGGCAGCGAGTCCGTAAATAACACTGAACTGGTGACGCACGGATGTTACTGCCCGAATGACAGGTGACTCGTTACACGGTTAGTGGCTGTAGCATCTATTTCTTACTTACTTTGATGAATTAACTGTGAGGATTAAGTTTTACTAGTAATACAGTGAGTTTGGCAGATGATTTGCTTCCGTGGCTGACACATCTGTGGTTTGAATATTGCTGTAATACTCTAACGTTTCATTACAAGTCAGACTGTAAGGAAATGAAGAATGCGATTCCCACACAGTGGAAAACAAACTGAAGTGACTTTGGATTTAGCATTGACACGGATGGAAACTTGGTTTCTACAGAAAGAAATAATTAAAGCATGATCCGGGAGAAGGCACGGCACTACCACTTCACATGGGAGAGAAAAGTTCACTCTCGTTCTTAAAACTTCTTAGTCCTCTGTGAACCTGTCCGAATATACAGAGCTCAGGAGACTAGCAACATATAATATAGTGTGAAGTCCGAGTAGTTACTACATTTGAAGAGACACGGTGTCCCCATCCCCATCCCCGAAAGGCCGCCCGCCCGCCCGGAAGTCCGCACAGGTCCGCGGGAGGCCCGCCTTCCTGGCCTGGCCCTGCTCCGATGGCTCCTCCAGGTCCTCGCCCAGCTCCGCGGTGGTGGGTCCTGTGGTCCTTCAGGCGACATCTCCGGCGCCCTCTGCCTCCTGAAGAGGGGCTGCTGCTCCGGGAGACGCCGGGGGCTTAGTGCCAGCTGGTCTCCTGTGGCCCCGAAACAGCTCTCCCTCGATGCTCGGCGATGGCCTTGGGGACAGCGCACACCAGCAGCTCAGCACTTCCGCTTTCCCTTGCTCCACGCGTCACATTCCTGTCTCCTGTGTGCCTTCAGCAGCTGCTCCTGGGCCTCAGTGAAAAACTGCCTCTTCCCTCCACAGTGGCCCACGCTCCTGTGCTCTCCGTCCCCGGATGCCTGGGTAGCTCAGTGTAAAACTAGGTTTGATGTCTCATAGAAACATCTGGCGGCGTCTCCGGGAGGCTTGCTCTGCCCGGCCAGCCGTGTGCCAGCGTGGACCACAGGAAGCCGAGAGGGACGAGCCCGGCCCTCCGATTCCAGTTGGGCGAGTTGGTCCTCCCTCCCGGGAGAGGACGGGAAATAAGCTTTAACTGTAGAGGCTGACATAGAGATAAAACACACGTGCTTCCTGCACGGACGGTCCCACCTCCTGGCCGGGCTAATTCACCAGGACGTAGCCATTGTGCTGCGGGTCCACGGCCTCCAGCATCTCACAGTCGAAGAGTCCGGGGAACTCGGAGAGGGCGAGTGGGTCGTAGCTGGAGGGGTCGCCCGGCAGCCCTGAGCCCCGGGGACAGTCCGGCGCTGCCCCGCCGCCCTGCTGGGCTCCGTCCAGGGGGTACTGGCCGGGAGCGGGGTAGTCTGGCTCAGGGGAGACGGCGCCTGGCAGCTCGCAAGTCTGGTAGGAGAAGGGTAAGGCGGCGGGGGCGGCCCCCGGCTGCTGCGGGGGTGGCGGGGGTGGCGGAGGTGGCGGGGGCGGCTGCTGCAGGTGCCCCTGAGGGCCGGGCGCGGAGGGCAGGGGCCGCAGCGGCATCTCGGGGTACTGGCCCAGGAAGGGGCTGTACTGCATCTGCTCAGAGGCCGCCAGGACGGGGCTCAGGGGCTGCGCCAGGCTGAAGGGTGGCGGCTGCGGTGGCGGCGATGGGGCCTCCTGGTGAGGCTGTGGGTAGGAGCTCTCCGCTATCTGCATCTGGTTGAAGTACGCCTGCAGCTGGGACTGCTTCTGGAGGAAGAGCCGCTTCTGCTGGAGTCTACAATGGCAAACCCAGAGAAAGCATGGTCAGTCTTCCTCAGTGACAGCAATGTCAATGCAAGGCAGCGTCAGCTACCAGCTCAGCCGCTCACTTCTCTTTCCATAGCAGAAAAGAAGTGGGGGTAGGAGCAAAAAGTGTCGCTTTTCTTCAACCTCATCTCACTTTTTGTCCCCCAATTCCGACTGACCTCAGGGCGACAGTAAACACTAACTCATTTTCTCTAAGACCCTGACGTTTTTCTCCCTGTGAAGTGAGAGGCTGACTTCCCAGCTGCAGTTAGAAAGGGGGGTGTGTGTGATCCCTGGCCTCCCTGCGGCCTTTGGCTGATGGGGCAGGGCCATGCCTCCTTGGCCACCTCTGCTCCTGCTGCTGAGGCCGGGGGCAGGAATTACTGCAAGGGAGGATGTGAGACGGAAGGGAAAACAGCACATTTAGGCTGCTGTTCCCTGCAGGCTCACAGCGAGGTGCCATCACGTCTGGGAGTCTGGCTCATGCCTCAAACCCATTTTTCTCCCTGGCCAGATGGCTCGGTTGGCACAGCATCCTGAACACCAAAAGGTGGCGGGTTTGATTCCCAGTCAGGGCACTTCCAGGAGGCAACTGATTGATCTCTCTCTGTCTCTCTCTCCCCCATCCCTCTCTAAAAGCATACTTGAGGATTAAAAAATAATTAAAAACCACCAATTTTCCTAGTAGAGGCAACACCAGGTTGAATGGATACACCCAGCAATATTTTTATTTCTTTAATTGATTTCAGAGAGGAAGGGAGATGGAGAGAGAGAAACATCAATGATGAGAGAGAATCATTGATCGGTTGCTTTCTGCAAGCCTCTACTGGGGACTGAGCTCACAACCCGGGCATGTGCCCTGACTGGGAATCAAACCATGACCTCCTGGCTCATAGGTTGATGCTTAACCATTGAGCCACGCTGGCCAGGCCCCAGCATTCTATTTATTTATTTATTTATTTATTTATTTATTTATTTATTATTGATTTTTCACAGAAAGGAAGGGAGAGGGATAGAGAGCTAGAAACGTCGACGAGAAAGAAATATCGACCAGTTGCCTCTTGCACACTCCCTACTGGGGATGTGCCCACAACCAAGGTACATGCCCTTGACCGGAATCGAACCTGGGACCTTTTAGTCCGCAGACCGACGCTTTATCCATTGAGCCAAACCGGTTTCGGCCAGGCCCCAGCATTCTTAAGTCTTCCACAAAAGAAAGTGACTTCTTTGGCCAAAGGCGCTCTCTCACCTGTGTTCCTGCAGCTGCTGTTCAAGGCTCCGTGGTGGCTCCTTACAATACAGCTGGCAGGTGTTCGGGGCTTTCGACAGAAGGCTGGGCTTCTGGAAGAGCGGAAAACAACCCAAGCATGACGATGTGCTGCCGTCTGGGACACGGTCAGCAGACCGGGCTGCTGCCTGGAGGAGGAGACCAAACGTGTCCTCCACAACCACGCAGGGGAAGGGACTTGCTCACTGGGCCCCTGGGAGAGCATTGAGCCCACGGCTTGGGGTCAGCAGGCCTGGGCTGTCTCAGCTCTACTCTACTTCAGTTTCCATTCCTACAAGTCCCCTGGGACTGCGAGGTTCACGGAGATTATAAACAACGAGAAAAATGGGGCTAAATCTCAATGACAAAGGCAGCAGCACCAGCTGAATGAACAAATGATTCATCTTTTGAGATTTTCAGGCGCCAGTGGTAAATTTCCATTTTACCAGTTATTCATTAGGAGGCACACACCAGGAGCAGAGGCCATGCTCCCCTTCCTGCTACTGTGTTACAGACAGTTATTACTCGTGGAGGGTTGTCTTGCGGGGGTCTGAGGACAAGACCACAGCCAGCACAGAGCATCACCTAAGTCTGAATGTGTTTCCTGAAACTGGAAGTGCACTGTCAGGCCCCTGTCTGTGAGGGATTAAACCGTCACCCTAGCGAAGGCCTGAACAAGCCAAACAGGCGCCCGCCGTGCAGAAGGCGGTCTGGCCAGCACGGCTGGGGCAGCCAGGGAAGACCCACCTGGAGTCTGTGCTGCAGGTACTGGGCCTCCAGGCTCTGCCGCGGGGACAGCGGCGGGTGCACGCTCGTGGCAAGTGCAGGAACGCCTTCCGGCTGCTGGGCAGCTTCCTCCTGAGGAGCAAGGGTGACACGTTTTCAATTCTCCAGGAGAAAGTTCCAGCTGTTAGTTTAAGCACCTGGCAAATGCCCAAGAGGAACTCCAACCGTACACACGCCCCTCACAGCGTTCGCACAGCCAGCAGGTGGAGGGCTGGTCACTTACAATCTGCCCATGGACCTGCAGGGAGCGGTCACCTCGTCAGCACTGGACACAGGCCATCGCCTTCCTGGGCCGTGAAGGCTAGAGCAGCCTGGACGCACTAACAATAGGCTCAAAATAAACTTACTGGATAAATAGCATATTTTTTTTTTTGTATCTGTAGCACAAAGAATCCATCTGTAATATTTAATGAAGTGATGGCACACTAAAAGTAGTGGTAGTAAGCTTCTCATTTGGGTAAAGTTTATTCTAAATTTTTAGTGCCACCTGGGGGAGATGATCAGAGGCAACTTACATACAAGCTGCCCGGGCACCAGACACAGCTTGGCAGCTCAGGGCCTCACCTGTCAGCGGCAGGAGCAGCAGTAAGAAAAGTTTTCCGAAAGGTGCTGTTTGCTCCCGGCCTGGAGCGAGTGTTCCCAACGGAGTGACACACCTTCAGGACACACTCACCCCTTGCACTCGCCGCGCTGCTGGCTGCGGAAAGGGCCGGAGCACTCACCTGAGGGCGGCTGCCGGCCAGGTCCTGGAGCTGAGGAGCAGCTGACGCCAGGCTGGGGTCGACCTCAGGCCCCATCTGTTCATACAGCAGCTGCACTTTGTTCAACTCTAGGATCCCTTTGGTTCTAGCCAGATTCTGAAGATGCTGTCTAAATGCTACAATTCCTGGAAGAGAGCACAATGACCAAAGTTTAAATAAAACACAGGCCTCTCAGTGATGACAGGTGTGATACCAATATGGCCTCCACCCTCAGATCCTACCAGCTGAGGGCTTTAGGAGGCAGGAGGGGAGGGCAGTTACCTTGGGTGAGGGAGGTGTCGGAGGCCCTGCGGCCCTCCCTGAAGCTCACGGGCGACCTGTTGTGGGCCTCTCTTCTCTGGGAGGTCAGGGCCTGCATGGCGGGGTTGGCAGGCCTCAGGCTTATGAAGGGAGAGGCCATGCCAGGTGAGGGCTGGTTGGCTAACATGATGTCTTTAAGGGAAGGGTTGTCCTCCAGGAAGTTCAGGTCCCTCTGAACAGACCCCATGTCATACTCAGAGTCCACACTGTCAAGCGAAGGGTTGTCACTCATGGAGAAAACTTTCCCTTTAAGAGAAAACAGAGCAGATATGAGGAATAGCAAACAGTGAGCTATTTGGCCAAGAGACACAAAGTGCAGCCGGTTTGAGTTCTCTCAGTGACAATGTCCTTAATCTCCAACCCGCACATTTTTTTTCAGAACCATTTTCTACATCAATTTAATCAGCTTTGAGTTTTTGGGGCGAACACTCCAGAACCTGTGCCCTGCAGATCTCTGCCACCCCTAAGGCCAGGTCCTGGGTGAGTCCCCGGCACTCGGTGAATTCTGGGAGTGAGGAGACAGCTCAGAAGCGATCCACTTGCATCTCGGCAGCTGCGGAGCAGGCCTACCCTCAGCTGCTGAGTGTTGTCCACAAGGAAAGAGCAGACTGGTTTCCATGGGGAAACGCTCACTATGGACCACATCCTAGGAGCTGGTGAGTACCATCACTACCTCGTGGAGACTGGACTATGACGAACAGTGTGCAGACTCGGCTGCAGCTCAGTGGACAGCATACCTGAGCCCGGCACCATGACCAGCTGATTGGTCACTTCGGACAGAGTGTGCCGTCGCTGCCCACCGCGTGTGGACTGGAACGTGTCGAAGGCCTGGCTGGGGTCTTCCTCGGCCTCTCCCTCTGTCTCCAGCCCTTCATCGATGGAGGTCTCCATCATGCTGCTGGGCAGGGACTGGCACCCCTTCCTCGCCAGGACAGGAGGCACAGGGTCCAGCAGACAGCCAGTGACCTATATGTCAGAGCGAGAGGAAGCTGTCAGTTGCTGCTCTGCTGAGACATTCGAAAAATCCACACGGGAAACATGTCAGCACTGTGGCAGGTTAGTAATTAAGTAAAATACTGAAAATGTACAGATGTGTTATTAAAGCCAACTGCAGCTGAGAGACAGGAGCCCAGTACGGCCGAGCCCGCACTGCCTCCCAGGATTCTCTGAGTCATCATTACAATAAACAATTTTTTTAAAGCAGTTTCCAGATGAATAGGGGTAAATTAAGTGATGCCTGCCAGTTATTTCTTTAAAATAGGGGAATGAGGAGGGGGAAGATGAGATTTAAAAAATGCCTGGCTCAGAGCTAAGAGAAAAGAGTAGTCACCAGCATTCTTCTAATTTTCAACCACAAAACATACTGCAAGGTTCCAGACATACTTTTATGTTTATAATTTAAGTACCTAACTATCTGGTTAGGGCTTTAACTGTTTTTTTGTGTTTGAGGAATGGAAAAAAGAATTCTTTAAAGATGGACTGACACCACAGAGAGCACTGACAAAGACTCAATGGCAAACAGCCGAGCCTTACGTTACAGTTACAGAATAACAAGCGGCTCAGGCCCCGATTCCTGCAGAGGCACGGCCGGCCGGCCGCACACACAGCACCCCCAATTCCCATCCCCCAGGGGGAGCACAGCACAGCTCCCAGGCAGCTGACAAGCAAACCAGCTAGAGGCAGCAGAAACAGCAGACAAAGGGGAGTTGTGGTTGCTTGCTCTTCTGGCTGGTAAAAGCCCCAACGAGGAGGCAATTATTGAGCTCATTACCTTAACTACCCCCTCCCCCCCAAACCCCAGGGAAATCAGTCTGTTTTCTCCCATGAATAGCTGCTCAGGAACAGCCAGTCACAGACACTGAGCTGTAAGCAGGCTTTCACCTGAAGTACACTGGGTAGAGCTTTTGTTTCCTTTGGAAGCGGGCGAGGCGCATGTGTGAGAGGTGACGTGGGCCGTCCCTGTGCCAGACACAGGAACGCTCCTCTTATGGCAGCCGCCCTGGAGGCGCTGCGCCCTTTATTGGGAGAGGGAGCCCAGTGACTCAGATCTTTGTTTGCCTGGGGGAGGGGACAGCAATGCCATACAAACTGCTTTGGGGCTGCAGCTAACACTTGGATAAGGTGGCCCTTCTCCAGACAAGTTTTCCTCTTTTGATTACACTTCAAAGTTTTCTTTTCTTTTTTAAAAAAAATATATTTTATTGATCTTTACAGAGAGGAAGAGAGAGGGATAGAGAGATAGAAACATCAATGAGAGAGAATCATCGATCAGCTGTCTCTTGCACATCTCCTACTGTGAATGTGCACTAAACCAAGGTACATGTCCTTGACTGGAATCGAACCTGGGACCTTTCAGTCCACAGGCCGATGCTCTATCCACTAAGCCAAACCGGTTTTGGCTCAAAGTTTTCTTTTTAAAAAATTTTTTTTATTTTTTATATTTTATTGATTTTTTTACAGAGAGGAAGGAAGAGGGATAGAGAGTTAGAAACATCGATGGGAGAGAATCATCGATCAGCTGCCTCTTGCACACTCCCCACTGGGGATGTGCCCGCAACCAAGGTACATGCCCTTGCCTGGAATCGAACCCGGGACCTTTCAGTCCGCAGGCCGACGCTCTATCCACTAAGCCAAACCGGTCCCGGCTCAAAGTTTTCTTATAGGAGAGAATGGCTGGCTGCTTGGAAACTTATTCATACCTCTAGGTTCCTTAATTGTCTATTAATACAATTTTCTAAAACTAGCAGAGGATGGTTTAGAAATGAAAAAAGCATCAGAGAAAGGACTGTTATAAAGTAATTATCTATGTTTACCCTTACAGTCTATGTCAAAATTTTATCAGATACTTCTTGTAGTATAGTCTTACAACCGCCAGAGCCCTATGTCCTTTTTGTCCTTTATAGAGAAAAGTTACCTTTTTCGGAGAACTAAAAAAACCTTTCAATCTCTCTGAATTTGTAATTTCCCTGTTAAGTTATCTGCTTATAAATTCATCTCCTCTTCTAAATGCTTGAAAATGTTTGCTGAATTCAGTTTCATCCTGGGACAGGCAGAAAACAATGACCGTTTTTGAGACGGATGTTTGATGATTAAATCAGAAGCAGCGTGGAGTCGGGCGCACAGTGTGATCATCTTCAGCTAGGAGTTCATTTCCTGGAACAAGTGATCTTCATGCCACCCTTCCCTGCCACTTACTGCCAGGACACTTGCTAAAACAAGAGCCTAAGTGTCGTTCTAGGATTTTGTGATCGCAATATTGGGCTGACGAACCTAGGCTGCTAGAAATATGATCTTTTGCTCTAGGAAATAATCTAGGCTAACTAACTGTAAATGACAGGATTTCAAATATAACACGGGTAAATATGTATTTCCAAATATATCGTTTTTGTCTTTCCTAAAAGCTCAAGCAATCACTTCACTTCTAGTAAGAGACCTCCTGTGCATGTAGGAATTGAACTGTAAGAGACTCTACCACTAACTGATGCCATGTGCCTGTGCTGATCACAAATGACAAGGTCGTAGCACAGATAGACTGTTATGGACAGAATGTATGTGTCCCCCCTAACCCCGAGTGTGGCTGAGGAGATACAAAAAAACTCTCTCCATACGAGCAGAGAAAAGGCCCTGGAAGGACATTGTGAGAAGCCAGGAAGAGAGCCCTCACCATTAATCAAATTGGCTGAAACCTTGATCTTGGGCTGTAAAAATACATTTCTGTCGTTGAAGCCACCAGGCTGTGGTATTTTGTTGCAGCAATCTAAGTAGACCAATACTTGATATTAGCCAGTTGAGTTTGGAGTCTGGGACTGTGGCTTATTGAATCTAAGTGCCTCGCAAGCCTGGCACATGTTGAAAAGGTGCTATGGGGCTCAAACCTCAGCTCTATCACACATTAGCAAATTGCTTAACTTCTATAATCTAACTTGTATTTTTTTCACTTGTTGTTTGGGAAAATGAACTAAAATAATCCTAATATATAAAAACCCAGGGTTGTAACATCTAAAACGACCAAAAGCTTGACCAACTGGACGTCAGTGCTGGGTTTCCGTGGCTGCCCACTGACTGCTGAGAGGGCTGTGAATCAGGCCGGAGGAGAGAGAAGCAGGGTTTGATCCGTAGCCTCTGTGGCAGCTGTTGATTAGCCCTTGACTTTCTCTTTCTCTCTGGGCCTGGCCAGCAGCTGCACCTCTCTTTCTCTCTGACCTCTGCTGGGGCTGCTGATCAGCCTTGCCTCTCTGATCAGGCCTGCTGATAGGCCCGGAGATGCTGACTGAAATAAAAACTTACCAATCAGAACCAAATCTGAGTGAAGTGCGAGGAGCCAATGACTGCCTAGGAGGTGGAGCTTTTGATGCTGACTGGCTTAGAAACCGACCAATCAGAACCTAATCTGGGTGAACTGTAAAGGCAGGACCTAAAGTGGGGGCAGAGGAGGGGTTTTAAGGGCAAAAGCTGTTTAATGTAAGTTATAAGAAAGTGATTCAATTTTTTAATGATCACTTTGGCAGTACAGTGCATATGGCTGGCTATCAGTCCAGATATAGGGATTATGTATTTTTGTCTGCCAAGAGCATATCCTCCTGCTGAAAAAGGCTCCCCTCCCCCCATTTAAGCAATCCTATCCTATATAATCTATCTATACTAATAAAAAGGTAATATGCTAATTAGACCAGTCCACTGGCCATTTTCCAGACGTCCAACTTCCTTTCGGACAAAGCCATGGTGGTGGGGCCAAGGCTGAGTCCATTAGGGGTGATCAGGCTAGAAGGAAAAGGTAGTTGGGGGCGAGATCAGGCTGGCAGGGGAGGGCAGTTGGGGGCAACCAGGCTGGCAAGGGAGGGCAGTTAGGGGTGATCAGGCAGGCAGAGGCAGGCAGAGAGGTTAGGGGCAATCAGGCAGAGGCAGTTAGGGGTGATTGGGCAGGCAGGCAGTGAGTGGTTAGGAGCCAACAGGTCCCTGATTGGAGAGGTTGCAGGCTGGGCTGAGGGAACCCCTTCCCCTCATGCACAAATTTTGTGCACCAGGCCATTAGTATATATAGAAAATGGCATACTACCATAGCATACTACCATAGTCCTCAATATATTGTATCTATTATTACTTATTGACCAAAGAGAATGTTTTATAATAACAAAACATTTTAAAGCATCAGAATGAAAGGAAGTTTTCTTTTAAAGCATTTTTGCTATCTTGAGTTAAGTTAAAATAAACAACCAGATGAGGAAGAAAAGAACTGGATAAGCCAAGTAGTAGGAATGTCTCTGAAGGAAACCCTCAAGAGGCACAAAGATTTAGATACAAGTATATTCTCCTGAAGCATGTAGGAGAAGGAAAAAAAAAAGTGTAAGTACCTGATGTTTAAAAATAGGAGAGTTCATAGTTAAATAAGGATATAGCTAATACAATATCTTAGGCAGTTAAATATAACTCATGATTTCAAGATTGCATGATATGGGAAAAATGCTCATGATGTTATATTATGTAAAGCAAGATACAAAATGATATATCATAGAATATAATTTTTAAAAAGTCCACCTATTTACTGAACCACCCTACACTCACCCACCCATCCAATTGTCCATCTAACTGTATCTATAGCTCCTTTTTAGGAAATATACTAAAAAATACTTATCTCTGGGATAGTGAGATTATGGATAAGTTAATTCATTCTTTAATCGCTCTCTGAAATTTCCCTATGTGAGTTTGATTGGTTTTGTTGTTTCCAATTATATATTTAAAAATTCAGATTCAGATATAAAAGTGCATTTCTTCCCTTTACCAAGCCTGATAGGTGAGCACTGTTAGTTGTTGGATGTACATCTTTCTCAGGGTGTCTCTTAGGTGCTGTACTACCTCTATAGTGACAGTTATTAAAAATGTGAGCAGACACGGAACACATTTACTACTGGCACTTTCAGTTTAGCCTCACAGTTCCCTTCTGCTATCCAGCTATGAAGGTGGAACTT